ATCAAGTGTCATCTGATCAGGCATGTTTGACCAGAACTTGATGTAAAGCCATTTGTAGTTTATAGGGTCCAATATACTGCCTCGAAACTTGATCAAGTTTTCATCAAGTGTCATCTGATCAGGCCTGTCTGATCAGAACTTGATCTAAATTCGCTTGTAGTTTTTAGGATCCGAGACGTTGGATCAAACCTTGGTCAGGTTCTGATCAGATCTTACCTGATCAAGCGAACCGCACTGAAACTGAATCAAGTTCTGATCGGACTTCAAGTAGACCTGAACTAATTTCCACTCGGATTATTCATCATGCGTAAGACTTTCCACGCGTCATCCTATTTCTCATTGGCCATTCGGAATAAAACTCTTTTCTCATTGGTCAATGTCATCTCAATGTTTTCTCATTGGCTATGTCATCATCAACACAACGGAACCAAAAGGCGGGGGCGAAGCGCGCATTCGGTTTCCTAAATTGACTAAAAAAAATTCAGGTATTGGAATTTTTATTGATTTATTTCTGCTATAAATGCACTCTCTACTTATATTTTTTTACAGTAAAATTTAATGCGGATCCTTCTGTTTGCTCTTAGATAATAAACAATATGTATGTAGGAGTATATAAGATGTAGGTAACCCTTTCTTCGATATTATTCATAAAAAAATTAATGCCGGAAAAAAAAATCGGAGAGCATTACTTTTATGGAATATCAATATCCGCGGGCGGTGCTAGTACTTCAAAGTTTCAATGAAAACTTTTATACCACTTAATGACAGAGGGACGTAAGTGCCAGGGAATTTAATTCAATAAAAAATTGATTTTGTGTTATTTATGAACGTTTTTCAGCATGCGTTTTCTTTGTTTTTCAATTTTCGTAGAATTTACGATTGTTCTTAATCTAAAGAAAACAAATGCAATTTTTTTTTTAATATAGAACGAAGGGAAAACTTTCAAGGAATACACAATACATTTTATCCTACTTCTCTGCGTGTAACTTGAAGAGGACGAACTTTTCATCGCAACGACAACTTTATAATTATGGAATAATTATCGAACCTTCTCGTAAACTATGTCTCAACAGAAGGAAATTATCGTTAACTTGTTAGAACCTTACGCGTCACTTGTACTGCTCATTAGCAACGAATACTTTTCTCTTTGATACTATGTTTCATACTTCTCACCCCGGCGCTCTATCCTATTCCCTGCGCTGCGGAGTATACCCTGCAAATATCATCATTTAAATTGGCAGTATTATCCACTTGCTCTGCAACACTCACTATTCTCAAAAACGACACAAAAGAAAATGCTTTCAACATCTTCATTAAAAAACAAAAATAAAACTACCTTTCGCAATAAACAAATGTTTACCAGCTAAATTTATCAAATAAACAACTGCAATCTTCATTGATATTCTTTATCTCGCCCCAATCTGTTTGACACTCATAAATTTCGTTGGCATAGATAATTTGTTCAGTCAAAAATTTATACTTTTTCCTTGGTTATCTTAAAATTCGTTTTCAAAAAATCTATAAAAACTTGATGCTTAATCCAGAATTTCCATGAAATAGAAATTCTATGAATAGAAATCATGTCCCCAGGATTTCCGTCAATTCCCGAAATAATTAATTCACTAAAATTTCAATCAAATCAATTAGCCAGATGAATTATTGAGACGTCCGAATATTGGACAATACCCAAAAATGCGTGCTCCGTTTTGCGGCACATTATCGGCTTTCTCCTAAATCATAGCGGAAAAAAAATGAGAAATGTGAGTGCAATGAGTTATACGAGATAATGATAATGTGCCGTGAACAAATATTGAAAGTGTGATAAATGAATTTTCCCGGTGGGAACGGATTGAGATGGAGAAGAATATTGAATATCCAACCGCGCAGTAATTGTCGCAAAGCTTACACTTTTACTTAGAGTACACCATTAGTATATGAAATGCCAACTACAGGCATAGGTGAGGCTCATGGAGGCTTTAGATGCTTTAAATATACTGACCCCCCTCTCTATTCTCATACCTCGCATATATTAACTCAAAACGTATATAAGCTCTTTCGGTTAGCCTCAGGTGTATCCGAAGAATTATCTCGGCTGGTGCTAAATTTCGACGGCTTTGTAGAACACACTCAACTAAATTTCAGTCCACTGCCACCGAGATGTGCCAGGAGGTATTTCAATTACGCACTCAGTAAATTTTTTATTTACATTTGCTCCAGTCCAAAGGTCATATCAATACCATATTTCATTAAAACTGCCATTTATGTATAATCTTCATATGTACATACAATAAAATTCATGCGATTAATAAAATCTGTAATAACGTAACCGATAGAGTCTTGATTTTTACTTTATAATTAAAGTACATGAATAATACGTTGACTTCAATGAGAATAAATTAATTTAACAATAAATCAATATAAAAGTGAATATTTATGTTTTTTTTGTTAATTTTCTGCTTATATATTATAGCGATAAAATTCTTAATGAATCCTTTCAATACGAATTTATTAGGAAGCCGAATAATTATTATAAATTATTATGAGGGAAAGGTCGAAATTTAATTGATTTAATTTATTGATTGAAAAGATCTATTGATGTTGATTAATATGGCCTCACACTTTCTGAACTTTTTAATGAAGAATAATATATTTTAGGACTAGTACCGATTTCTCATTGTCCAGTGCGGGTGTACACGAATAAGCAGAAAATATTGCTCGAAATGATGGTCACGTAAATGAAGATCGAACGATGATGAAGCAGAACTCGAAAAATTTTGCCTACGCGAATTGACCCATCACACAGAGTTATTTTTCAATTGCAACCAGAAGTAATTTACAATGCATAGGAAAAAAAATCGCGGAGAATGCGGAATTCACAAAAATTATGGAGCAATTTTTTTTCTCATTTTTATTTTTCGATATTTGTTATCAACATTGTCTCATAAATAACAAAAATTCATCGAAAAGAGTCTTAATTGAAAGGATTAATTAGTTCCACGTGTGTTATCTTCCCGGTGGATGGAAACAATTTTCAAACAAAAAATGAATCCCTACCTCTTCCCCAAAACTAATCAATCAATGAACCCCACAAGTTAATTAAACCCCAAAAATCCAACCACAATAGTTCTTCGCAATTTCAATCCCCTCACCGTTCATTTCGCAGAAAAACAATTATTGATCCGCTATATAGGAGTTTACTGAGTATTAATTTTTTTTAAAAGTGTACCCGGAGCAAATGTCTTCAGTAAATAAAAAGGAAAGGGTAAACATGGGCGAGCAATTTTCATGGCTCACGAGTCAACTTCAATTTCCTAATTAACCGGTAGATACAAACGGGGGATGTAAAGACGAAGAACAGAGAGAAAGGGAGAATGAAAAAATAGGTGAAAATACATAGAGGTTGGATATATGGGGGCGTGGCTGCTAATTGTCTCCCAATAATTTCACCTCCCGTCCAGTGGGAGACCCCTGGCTAGACCATCGGTGATTGCCAAACAAACAAACAAAACTCTTTTTTTTTCAATCTGACCTTCAATCTTTCATCTCCGGAATATTCTCCGTGAAAATCCATGACATATACAAATAACTGTATGTCCATTAGTGCCTCCCCATAGTTGCCTCCAGACTAGCAATGTTGAATTGCTATAACGAGCGCGCTAACATCGACCCGCGCCTTCGAAAAATATTTGCCAGAACCCCTGGGAAAGAGCTCAACCTGGACTTATATATCTATACAAATGGTTGTGTGAAATGCAGGGGGAGTCCGTTTTCCTCTATTCCGAAAGAATGTCTTTGCAAAATGAAAAATACAAATTCTACATGAAGCATGACCTCATTAATGTATTCATTTTTCCTGCCTTCCCTCTCTCTCATTTTTCATGTCACGCAAATCACGCTGATAATTGTTTCGACTGCACCGTTATTCTTCCATTAAACATAAAATTGAAATTGGTAATGAGACGGAATATTATTTGAGATATAAGAGATACAAATATATGATTGTTATTGAAATACGCGAACGATTAGATTATCCTATTAAAACGTCATTTTGGAATTCGAGATCTGTTTTAATGCTGTCACATCACGAAATAAAATAATATCAAATGAATATAATAAATATTTTATTAATTAATCCAAGAATCACATGAATTAGAGTAACCAATCTATTTAATTTTCCACTTGATGCGAATCACATTGATAATTGTTTTGAATACACCTTTAATTTTTCATTAAACATCAAGATGAAATAGTTAAGCAGGCGAAACATTACTTGAGATAAGTTTTTCATGGAGTTATTCCAATAATTAGAGCATAATTCGTAATCTAAATATAATGTGAGATTAAATTAGTTGATAAAGAGGAAACATTTTCCTCAGTGTGCACCACTGATAATATTTTCATTAAATTCTGGTTTAAATAATAATAAATTATTATTTCAGAATTCGGAAGTATCATTATTTGAAACCAACATCCGATTCTTGGGTAGCCTTTTAGCGTGCTATGCCCTCACTGGTGATGTGATGTTTCGTGACAAGGCTGCTCAGCTGGGTGAACGGATGCTACCGGCGTTTCAAACGGAAACTGGAATACCGCATTCCCTCATCAACCTGCACACTGGGGCAAGTCAAGATACTGTAACTTTACCCCATCTCCTTTCCACCGAAATTGCTATCGTGGCGTTAATAATGCCCAATCATTGCAGAGTTAATGATTATTCATCAGTCAGGACTACTGATTGGTCTAATGTCTCCTGGACAATTCCACCCATTTTTCAAATCATCTATTGATCACCTGATTCATTTCCTCGGAATACTCAATCAATGCGTGGCGAGTTTATTTGTACCATAATAGGAGTCCGAGCATCGAATTTTTGAACAAATAATGAGAGTAAAACAAATGTCCAATTTCAAAATGCCATTTGTGCAGACGACATAAATGGTAATTATACTTTTGAATAGGGATCCAGCATCATTAATACTCTCAACGTAATTACTCATATGAAATGTCCACGAGCTATACGAGAAATGAATTACCCAGATTAATATTCCATTGGTATTAATCATTGTTCAATGAAAATTCGTTTTTACCCCTGTCTAATGAAATTCCCAATGAATTTTGGATTATCTCTCTTTAATTAACTGTGCAAATTTATAGATAAGTAGAAATTACGGATGGGCAAGCAGTGGCTGCAGTATTCTCTCTGAAATTGGCACTTTGCATCTTGAATTCGCGTATCTCAGTGATATAACTGGCAATCCAGTGTTCAAGAGTAAAGTGGAGAATGTGAGGAAAGTGTTGAAAAGTCTGGAAAAGCCAAAAGGGCTCTATCCAAATTACATCAATCCGCGGACTGGAAAGTGGGGCCAACGTAAGTACATCCTTTTTTTTTAAAAAAAAAACCCTCTCGTTACCTCGTACTTTGATGATGAATAATAAACGGATGTCGAGTGCCTTTGAATTAAAAACTACCCGCATCTACGCATTTTGATTGATTATTTTAATTAATAACAACGTAAACAGAAATAAGAGGAAAAATCTCATGAGTGGAATGACAATTTATAAATACTTTACGCCCCCAAGATACAATTGAGAGTAAATTCGATAGTACGTGCAGGTTTTAAATGGACACGTCCTATATTCAAGACCACGATCAAATAGATCAATTTGGACGTCGGAATTATTCATATTTATCTTCTGTAAAGATCACATGTCGTTGGGAGGATTGGGCGATAGTTTCTATGAATATCTCCTGAAAGCGTGGATTCAATCTGGAAAGGAGGATATAGAGGCTCGACAAATGTACGACAAGGCGATAGCGGCTGTTGTCAAGAATATGGTTAAAGAATCGCCAGGTGGATTGACATACCTGATGGATTTGAAGTTTGAGAGGCCTGAGCATAAAATGGGTCATCTCGCATGTTTCGCAGGTAATACTCACAAACTATCGATTATTCTTATGAATTTTCTTAAATCTTTATTCTCTTACTGAACCTTACTTTTTAAGTGAATACCTTGTTCATCAGTATTATCCAATTTTATAATTCAGGGCAAACAGGACATGAATTAATCAGTCATTTTCTTCGAATAATTAAACATTTTTGTGCTAAATCCTCTCGGCCCTTACATCTCCGGATTTATTATTTATGATTTTAAAATGAAAAGCAATCCTTTGTCTCACTTCGAGCGCTGAATTATTCTCTGAATATCGTTATTCATATAATTTTATATCAATTTTTAATCAACTGTTTGAATTAACTATTACTTTCAGGCACATGGAAAGACTCCATTGAATTTCATAAAATTTGCTTTTCGAAATTCAGTTAAATTGTATCTGTTGAATACATTACCAAATTTATAAAACGGCAATGGATGATATATGATTTTCTGACGAATAAATAAATGCATAACAATCATACACTACATGCATAAACAACTGGATAATTAATACAGCACGCGAAGCGCGCCCTTTTTCCTCGTGAATGAATTAATACTAAATCGTTCCAATGAAATATTCCTTGGAATAAAATGATTATATGGACCAATTTGTCGAATTAATTTTTGCAGGAGGAATGTTCTCGCTGGGGGCTAAAACAGAGGATAATGAGGTGTCTAAAAAATACATGAATATAGCGGCGGGCCTGACAAATACTTGTCACGAATCTTACGATCGGAGTGCAACTAAACTGGGACCTGAAGTTTTTCACTTCATCGAGGGAAATGAGGCACGAAGCCTCAGGAGTGGAGAGAAATATTACATTCTTCGACCTGAAGTAAATATCCCATTTCACTCTTTTATCTCGCTCGCATAAACAGACAGCAACAAATATATCGGATTCATTCCTAGCAATGCAGGATAAAAATTAATAATCAATTAAGGAGGCTAACAGATTACGTATATTAATTAGAAATCCCTGAATAATGCCGAGAATTTGATTTTAATGGTAAATCCCCTTATATATGAATAGAACTGCAGACAAGAGATTTATTTGATTGATGAGAAGAAATAATGAAGGGATCAAATGGAAGAGAAATATCAATTGCTATTATTTTTAATGAACTCAACGTGATTAATTGGCCACTCAAGAGCGAGGATGACTGGACAGAAATTCTCGATATTCTCCGATAATAAAAATTCTGTTTTATTCAGAGAATTTACTTCAGTCTGGAAAGTAGACGCCATAGGCGTTCGGTTTGTTTGTATCAGTGAGTACCACTCGTACTGATACACAACAGTCTGGAACTGTTACGATTTTATCACTTCCTACCACTCCATGATTTTTCCGAACTTTGTTATCTCATTTAATCTCCAATTCGTGTTCATGATGCTTTTCCATTATCATTATTTCCTGGATTATTCTTGAAGGTATCACGTCTCTATAATACTGAATGTAATAATAATTGTGAAACCATTGCCAGTAAAAATATTGATTATCTGAATCTCATGCGTTATAATATCACTGGCCAATATAATAGATGTGAAATTTTTTTAGATTGTCATTTTTATTGCTTCTTACTTGATTATTTTTTTGTCATACTTTCTGGCACATTAATAATTAATAAATAATCATAGCTATAAATGATGGTAATAATTGCTAATAAAGAATAATAATCAATCATTATATTGTACAGAATATTAAAAAATATTGTTTTTGAACTTCAGCGTACTTAATATTTTTAGAAGTGATATTTTCACGGTCGACGGGTAATCATGCTTGGAGTTGCACAAATTTTGTCTTCTTATCTTTGAATGAGTGAAATTAATGAATGAGATTAATAGGAGAAACAAAATGGTTCCGGGGTAAATTTGAAGAACAATTCCGACGTTCATTTTCGCAGACATTTGAGTCGTACTTCGTCATGTGGCGGCTTACGAAAGATCCTAAATACCGAGAATGGGGTTGGGAAGCCGTACAGGCGCTGGAAAAGCATTGTCGTGTACCTGGAGGATTCACGGGACTCAGTAATGTGTATCTGGCAGATTCACCAAAGGACGACGTACAACAGAGTTACTTCTTCGCTGAGACACTGAAGGTAAATTGGATTAAAAAAATATATATGCTTCAAAGCTCTGAATACTTTCTAGTGTAACCCGATTCATCCAGTCTGATACTTTGAATTTTGCAAATGGAAATGAAAAACAAAAAACTCATGGCAAAAAAATGACTGATTCATCTGCTGTGCAACCGACTTAGTTGACTAATGGAAAATGTTTCCAATTTTCGATTCATCAATTGGCGCATAAATTCGTGTGACGCCCGCGAAATCCAGTGGAAACTAGGGCTGTTAACATTTTACAGCTAGTAGTTTAAAAAAAAAAACTGTGATTTCACGACAGAGAAAAAGGGTCTGGAGGTGGGGAGGGTAAAAAATGTACATTGAGCTGAACGTCAACCATCGGTCGTCAAGAGCTATGAGCTTTTATACCTGTCGTTAAAAGCTAAAGCCGATGAAGTGCATTTTCCGTTATATGTCATTTTCCATGTAACTTTCGTAGCATCCGATGATGCCATCTCCCTTCCTCTCACACTAGTGTGCTACAATCAGTCGTAATCCTCTAATGGCTGTAAGCCATATGACCATTTACATTAATTCAACGGGATCCTGTCAATGACGTTTAAAATGGATCCAGAACTCTACCGGATCAGGGGCTCACAGTAACATTATTTTTTCGAAATATTGGGATTGTAAAAAGTAGATTGATTAGGCTGTAATGCTCAATTGGGAAATAGGGATTAATGAGATTGTCTGTAGGTCGATTTCTGGTCATTGCAAATTGAATAATATGATCAGAGGTTTAAACGGGAGGTAAAACTTTTATTTAAAAAGAAAATTTTGTAATTATTTAGAAATTATTTCATTATTTTCTGTTTGTCAATCAGAATTATTTTTCTTTTGACTGTCACTTCCTCCGATTTCATGGCCTCGATATTGCATTTGAATAATTCAAATTACTTGAAAGTACATGGAGTAATTCAGTTGCCTTCGAACAATTTGACTATCTCGAATTGGATTATATTTGGAATAATTCAATCCCGATTTGTTATGAATTATAAGGAATTGCGAAAGTTCAGGCACCTCAACCCGTTATTTTATTTATTATTGCAACAGCATTAGTGATTATAAATACACTATGGATTGATCTAGCTAATGGAAAAGTGAACAGGAAACGTTACTGATTATTCTAGTATAACAATAGTATAATATTGTGGAATACTAAGATATCGAAGTAATCAACAATTTCGTTGTTATTTTGTGTTCATCATTGATTGTCCGTTTATAAATTTAGCGACCACTTTCTAAATTGCTATCAATGGGATTGAATGGTCGTACTTCTCTCATTGTAAGGGTAAAAGTAGACGTCCACTAACTCAATAGCCACGATGATGAGTCAGAGATGCTCTAGTCACAAGTATTTACGGGCTACTGCCGATTTTTGGACGGAATTTTTCAGATGGGTCTCCCGTAAAAGTACACTTTTTGTGCTAAAATGCATGAAAAATTTGACATCGAAGTAAATTATTGAAAGAAATCTTGGGGACTGACGATTTTATCTGGTGACAGCCGATTTTTTTTTCGCTTCAGTGGCCATTTTTTAATAAAATTCCCACGACCGTAAACTGAATATCACTATAATTGTTAATAGATCGTAGATTACGGAGAATAGGGAAAAAATAGGAAATAGTAGAAATCCTAATTCTATGCAATTTATTCATATTTATTGATTTGTGTCTGTTTCTGTTCGCAGTACCTTTATCTACTGTTCAGTGATGATAACCTGATAAGCCTTGATGACTGGGTATTCAATTCAGAAGCGCATGTCCTACCCATCAGAGGGAATCCACTGTACCGTAGTGCACCACAATTATAAATCAACAATTGAACACCTTAAACGCTGCAATAGAATATTCGTTGATCGAAGAAATATTCAACTGATCAACCCATTGATTCTTCATGTTTGAAAAAAATCCCCCTCAAATTTCGATTGGAAAATTAGGTGAAATTTAAGTGAATCGTCAATCGTCAAGTAGAATAATTGTAAATAACAAGATTTCGTGGGAAATCGTGACAAGTGTGAATGTTTGATTTTCGCTGACAGGTAATTGAGATTGATTGTCTCCCGTCGATTATCATGTGCGATTACATGTTCAATCATGTGGCCTAAACTACTGAGGATGCACGCTAATTCCCCTTGTATGAGTCATCGTTGTGTGTAATACGATTCTTTAATTCATGGAATTGTCGATTTTGTGTCTGGCTTTGCGTGTCGTGTGTTACAACGCTGAAACTATTCTGATAAAATTGAGATGAATTACTGTTGTGCATTTATGAATGGATAATTCTGTAGAGATAATTAATGGCTTCCAGAAGCTAAGAAATAGATTTAAATAATTGGATAGTTCAATGTCTCCCGATGAGACAATCAGCATCTTCTGTCATTCAGTTTTTTTGGTCTTAGCTGTCCCTCACACAAGTGCTCCTTCGACTGAGAAATTTTTAATTGTAAAAATTAATGAAAATTGAATTTTGTTTCCATCATAAAAGGAAGTTATGTATGTAGAAATTCCATCTCGATGAGCGATTACAATCGAGATTTTAAGTGGGAAACGAAATACACTTAAGAATAATGAATGACAAGTCCACTTTATTCCCTTAACAACTATATATTCATCATAACTGTGTGATTGTGTGCTATTGTTTTCTTATCGATCAATGAATGACTCGATTTTAAACGAAATAGCCATCAGATTGATGAAATTGACAACATACTTATAAATTCGACAATCGCTGGTTTATTAATTATCATAAGAAGACACTTAGCACTTGGATAAGAATGTGAATGAAAAAATGAGAAATGGATAAAAAAATATACGATTCTTAGGAGAAATGTGTATCAAGCCTAGATTTGTAAATAATAAATTACATAAATGTCATATTCTGTATGAGATTTGTGAAGTAGCGTATTGCTGATTTGCTGAGGACGAATGCAATAGTGTAGTTGTTGCAACGAAAATGTAAAATATAAATTTGAAAGATTCCTGACATTTTTTCTTTTGCATAAAGAACAGTTGATTGTCACAATCATCGTTTTATTATGAGCAGATAAATAAAAAATTGTAAATTAGTCAATATCGACACGAAAATCTTCCGAGTAAAATGAAAGGACTGTATTCCATAAATTTTAATGGCATGTGTGGTACTTAATGGTGCCGATGACTATCATAACGCGATGATCATGTTTTTTCGAAATATATTTTCTTCACATTTAAAAGTCTTCTGGTACGAATTTGTCACGGAGAATGGCCATACAAAGCCAAAAAAAAATACAAACAACACTTTAACTGCAAATTCTTCCTGTGTAACTACTGTTTATTGAGACAGAATGTTTATATGAATGGAAAAAGAAAATAATGTACGTACATCTATTTCTAAGGAGACAAATAGCCAATCTATTATACATAAAGTTCGCAATTACTTAACGATCACCACTCATTTTTGTATTAAACAGACAAATCTAGAATTATTTCCTTAAGAAAGAAAGAGGTACAGCAGATGTATCAAGAAATTACCGGTAGTAATAATATATTAAAGAAGAGCGGTCAAAGTCAGCAATTGATAGTAATAATTAATCGCCTATGGGGAAACATTGTGAATAGATATTTAATAATTTATTATTGTTGACTAGAGCATATTACTTTCAACGCTCAGAAAATGAATAGAATTATGAATTTCACTGAGGGTTTCGGGTACCAATGAAACATTTCAGTTGCAAACCTAAAGGTACTCATCAACTTTATAACCACACATTTTGTTCAGCCTAAACTGCCTGGAAGAATTTCAATTGAAAAAGTACTTCCAAATTGGCATAACTTAACGAACACATGTAGTAGAGATTATGTACCAATAAATAAATAACACAGATATAAATATATTTCAAGTTGAGGCATTCTTTTACACAATAGAAATGTCAAAAAAAATTAAATGTGTAAATATCTGCGAGATAACTGATAAATCATAGCAATGAAGAAATTTCATTTGAAATTGAATTTATGTGATTATTCATTCAACACGAATCAATGATTAAATAAATATGTATCAACATAAATTCTCTGGTATCGCATTACGTACTTATTTGATGTAATCACCCGTAGATGTACACGCCAGTGATAAATCTGGCAATTTGAAAAGACTCATCTCTATAATTAATATAAAAGGAAGGCTATTAAAATTTCAATCGCACCCCTTTCTCCGTCATTCAGAGCAGCTCATTTAATAATGAATCATGCTATTAACCCCCTCCAACGAGATTTCAAAAGGGTTGGGTCGTATATGTAGCGATATCGGAAATGAATCAACTCCATTTAAACGGAATTGAGTTTCAGGAGGGTGTGGTTTAAATTCGCTGAAGATATCCACTTGAACTGTCACTTCCTTATGAATCAGTGGGTCAAAATCTGAAAATAGTACAATATCACGAGCAGATTGAAATGAGTAGCTGTCTGCGCAAATATCCTATGAAAACTACCCCCAAGTCCAACACTTTTCCAATGAGTTCAGTGATATACTATTAAATTGTCCATGTACATCGTGAATAATCCAATTAAGATTTAAAAGCAAAACTTTATGCTTCGGTGGCTCTTTCATCTTATTGACGCATTGATTAATTCTTTTTATTTTTTCTCCTCGTTCCAATTTGCTGGTCTACCGAAGGATAAACTGATTGCTGACACGATGAAGAAAGATTGAGCGAAAAAAAAGAAGAAGTGATGAACGAACGCCACTTCCTAGTTATCTCTTTCCCACCACTTTTCGCCCACTTCTTCATCCTGAGACCCTCGAGAGTAACCGCAGAATCAGCAGTGATGCACAGTACGGGGGATCTAAAAATACTGGGCGAAACACATCACAGACCACCACGATCTTTGTTTTTCATCGGTGTGTCTCTCGTGGTAAATCGTCATCGAAAATCCTCAGTTATATGACACTTGCGCGCGAATTGCCATTCAAACTTGTCTAGTCGTGACTGAATTATCTGATCTATGAGGGAAACAGTATTTATCATTATCGGCTAATGCCAATTTACGGTGGATGAGACTTGGCACTTCTGGAGGATTCAAGTGAAAATGATAAATTCAGAGGGATGGATTCATCTGATTATTTTGATTCTCGGTGAGTACTTGTTTCAATGTTTTACTGGTCGGGGGTGGGTAATGAACAATGAATAGCTCGATCGGTCATTAATCGTTTGAATCCGGTCATGACAAAAAATAAATTTCACGGCCATTCATTGATTATTCACATCCATAAAATATCCAGTGGTATGGGACAAAATTAACTTATAAAGATTGACCGTGGGGCTATTACCGCGGTTATTACCGAGTTAAGTTCAATGTCACATCCTCATGCCCGGCTTTTGTGGCACTATAGTTGCACGTTAACGTGACTGGCAGATCAATCATCGTTATTGTTTAAATGAGTTAACGAAGACATGGACGGATCTCGTTTGGGCGAAAGGGAAGGGGTCATTATTGAATTTAATAGGCATTCATCGTAATTCATCGGATATTTTTTCACTGACTAATCATCGATTGATCACGCCTCTCTCACAGATATTCTTCATACTGAGATTTTTCGGGTAAAGTGTACAGTCGTATTTTTCCACTGCGACATGTGTGACCCAATTCTACCATCCACTCCTTCTTCGTTGCCATTTGACAAGAATTCGAATATTTACGGAGAGATAAAGTCTCTTAGCGTTGGAAAATTTCTGCATTCGAAAAATGGTCTAACACCAAAAATAAAAATTAATCCTTCCCGGAACCATCTAAATGATTATCGCAGCGGTTTTATTAATTTGTTTAATCTGCAATCGAATAACGCGGTTGAATTGTAATTTAGAGAATTTTTGTGATTTTTTTTTCGTTATGCATTCGCAATTGTCGTAAAATTCGGGAATAAACAATCTGAGTTAAAATGGTGAAGAATTCGGGACATGGTGGATGCTTTCCATGAAAATATACCCTAAATATTGAACATTTTAATCCACATTGCATAAATGAATATCAACGATTATATGAATATTCATAGTGAATGGTAATCTTGTGTGGTGCGCTCGATAGAGTCACACGCATAATCAACTATTCGTCAACCTGATTGCACACACCAAATATTATTTACTGTGGAGAGGCGAATTCTATCATTAACTGGTTTACCATAAATTATGCAATTAGGTGAGACATAATATCGGGATTGCTTGAATTGTTTAATATTAGAATCCCCAGGGGATAGAAGGGGAAGAGGATAATCAACGATTAAGGGTGATTGATATTGATTGATGCAATGAAAAGTTATTGGGGATAACTTTGTTGGATACGGATTATCTGTTGACACTGTATTTTTGATTCATACCCAGCATGAGTGTACACAGCTGAAATACTCTGGCAAATGCCGTTTGGTATTCTTAATGATTGAGCAAATTTTCAACAGTCTCCGAGGTAATAAAACCCCACAGTATGACGGCACCCTCGGTAAATTCTGTACAGTGTTTTCCGTGAGAATTGAGCGAGCATTTCTCGCAACATCTGACGACTAGGTTGAACTATTAATATCGACCTCGGACCATAGTCCGCGTCCCCAGACTATTTCTCTTACATTTTCGTGGGTGAAATTGAGAGAAAGATTTATAAAATTCCGTCGGGATGGAACGTTAATTTATTACCGGCTAGAATAAAATGAGGCTTTATTCTGAGAGTCAAGACTTCAAACATCGGGAGCTTTCTCATTCTGAAGCTGCGACTTTCGAATGTTGGGACTTTCACAAGTCTTCGAATGAAATTTGTTTAAATTGAAAAATTACATCTGCCGATTCAACCGGACTATTTCAAATTATCATTAAACACTTGAATTAAAAAGAAATGTCATCTGTAGTCCTGACAGTCTCAAGTTTAAATTTGAAATTTTGAAAGTTTGAAGGCGCCCTGAGTTAAGCCTGCTAAGTCCTAATTTGAGACATTTATAATTTTTTTTTTAACTATACGGCTTTCCAATTCAACTCGAATCTTCTCTCGAATCCACACTGTGCGAAACTTAGGCTGAAGAAAAATTTCAGGCTCAGTGTCGAAAGTCTCAACTTGTCACAGATGCCTCTCATAAATATCTGCACAAATCCCGCGTAAACTCTTTCCAACCCCGTAATTAGAGACTCATCGCCATGAAATAGACACTTTGGGGTTTCAAATGAATCCCTTTGAAACCTCAAAACGAGTTTATCCAGAGGGAACAATAAAAACTCATTATCATACCACCAACAAAGCCCCTGGAAGCCCTGATAAACTGATGAAAGCGTCCACAAATTTCAGTCGAGTAACCGGCGCCTGGAATGCTCGACATTCCAGCAAAAAGGGACAAATATGACGAGACAATCTAAATTTTCGGACGCTCCAGGAGTTTTCATTGTACTCTATACACCCCAACGCCGATAACAAACTATTTGATAAGTCGAAAGACATGAAAGAAGAGGTAACCCCCGAACAATTTTAGAATGTCAAACTATTCGTGGGACGATGTCACTGTATATTTTCACAATAAATATTGAATGGAGGTCAGTCCGATGTATCGGAAAATTAAGTCATGTTCTCAGCAGGTCAGCAGTCATATCCTGCCATAAAGACTAAATCTATAATAAATATTTACAACGGATGGTTTATGACGAGTTGATTCAGTCTTACCAGTGGATCTAAAGTATCACAATTATATACGGACTAATGAATATGGTAAATTATCGGAAAAGAAGGAGCGCGATGGAGCAGGCACACATGCTGTGACAAGAGGTTGACATGTTGGAGATTCTGCGTGTTTTTGTCCTGCCAACCCCCGGCAGAAATTCAATAGAATCCTAAAAAACTTGCCGTTTTTGCCACAGAGACCAATTATTTTTACATATACGTGCGTTACCACCGACAAAGCTGTTGTTTCGTGTCTGTAGCTCAAACACGTCCAACAACTTTATATGGAGTTTCTCGTGGGGTATGACGTTTTTGGATTGCGAAAATCCCACCATGTATTTTCATTTATGGTTTCACCTTTGGGCTATATCAGAACCGATAAATGGGAGGATACGTTGGGGAGATACCGTAGATAATGCTATTGGTAATATATTATTAGTGAGTACCTTGGGAAAAGACCTGTGGCGAACAATTTCAGGATAAATGTCGAATATTATGGGAAATTCACGGAAAATAGTTTTATCGGAAAGTACCGGGAGAGAAATATTTGAAAAGAATATTACGGATATTTTCTATGATTTCGTAACCGTTATTATTTCGTGGTGATGTATTGAATTTGATTTTTTAGGATTGAATGATGGAAAATGCGGACTAATCGACTAATTATTCATTAATAATCGATCGATTAATTGTCATAAATTATGGTGGAAGCGTTACAATGGACTTTTAAAAATTTTTGGGAAATTTTTGTAAAACACTTTTTTAAGGAATTAAAATAAATTTCACAACGGAAAATATGAAGGGAAGGAGCTCGGAGAATTGATTTTCTTTGTAAGAAATATTTTTTAGCTGCACGCTGTACAAATATTTAGGAACATATATCAATAACAACAAACTGAAATCGAAGGTTCAGGTTCTTTCTGATTTATCGTGTTTACGAGCCATTGCCGGGGGATAACCGCGAGCTGCAATAACGCACGAATCCCGACCACAATGAATTATTGAAAATTTGAGTTGGGACGAAATGATATGTCACTAGCGCAACGAAATCGTAAACGTACACGCATTAGCAGTGGAGACCGCTGACTGAAGTCTAATGACTGTCTGAAATATTTTATTTAAAAATTACCAAAACTTTACACAACCGGGTAAAAAAAAATGTGATCTAAATATTGTTCCCAATTCAATCTTTCTGTAAAACTATTGACAGTCGATTGAAAGTCATTAAAAAACGGAATTTTTGTAGAATCTTCTCCCCCAATAATTTCACAAGAAAGTATTGAGACACTAATTATAATATTCACAAATACAAGCATTTGAAATGAATCGTTTTTCCTCTTTTTATTTTCTTCCCCCTTTCCCAGGATAATGGCGAGAAGACAGCGATTCATCCTCAAAACATCATGACTATTAGAAAAAATGCGCGGACAGATCATTAATCACTTAAATAAATTGGCCGACCAATTTATTCCTTATCGGGTCTAGAGTTCAATCAAGAGTTGCATTACGACAATATAAAATAACAACGAAGATTAAACAAATCGATGATAAAAATTCATCAATTTATCCGTGAATACCTGAGGAAGAAGCATCTGTTCATTGAATTGGATATGCGTGCCGTTGCCTAAACGCGTTTAGTCCAATCTCCGAACACCTCTCACTAGCTCATGCGTTCCGGTGATTTCTAAACTGTAGTTTACCAACAACTCTCGAATTCCCAGTCCGACACACAACTAGATTCTCCACTTACGATATCAACTAATCCGTACGTTATCTCAACCAATGCGATAAGTCCGGAGCAAATTAAATGGCTCTCATTCACAGTTGCTTCCAACATCTTCATCTCATTCATCAATACACTATTTTGATTGATCAGTGCCGTAGGTCATCCTCCAGGAAGGGCATGCGATTAACTTGATGTAAGAGATTCCGCGGCTTTCAAGGAAATTAGACTGAAACCTGAAAGCAATTATCGATTTTCCATCGGTCAATCATGACCGGTTATAATCCAGCGAGGGCATGTCACATTATCGAGAATCTAACGAGATTGAAAAAGAATTCCGGTGAGCTTTCCAGACGAAGAAAAATCTCTGGATAGTAATTGAAATTTATTGTTTTTAATTTTAAAAGTTTGTAATTACAGAAAAATTATTCCTGATTGAAGGTCATCTTATCGTATAAGTCTGGGAATTTTTATCTGGTCTTAATTCCCAAGTGGATCTTCATGAATTTAGGAATTTCCTTTTTACAATTCAGCATTTTTTTTAATGCAACAGCAGTAAGCAACATTTTTTCCAGTTATTGCTCTGATGGCTGCAAAAAAAATGGGGAATTACTGCAGATGGTTGATCTCATCCTTCGTGTTCTCCTGTTTCCCGGCATGTTTTTTCTTCGTTATAGACAACTCAATGGCTCTAAGTCATGCACGTAAAATCAAAAAATTACCATAAAAGGCACGAAATGTGTGACACACTGTAAAATACTGCAGACATTGAGTTAAAACTCCCGGCAATATGACAATTTTTTCCCCTCCGGCATTCATGTGTGAAGTGCGTAACCCATACTATAGAACACTTTCTATAGTATGGGAAACATCATGGTGATGATCATGAAATCCTAATAGTGCGTGCGTGAACATGAGATGAAAATTGCGTGTCACACGAAATTACGGGCAAATGGCAGTATTTGGGGATTAATTTTCCTCGATTGTCCTTGAATGATCGACCCATGACGTCAAATTGACCTTGAATCTAGGAATCAATGACCGGTAATTGATTCCTGGGTAAATATTGAAAACAGATAGATGGGAGTCGAGAAATTAGGATTTCAGAAGATTTTGAAAACATTGAAAAACCAAAAAGGAGAGGAGAAAACTATGGGGGAGACATGCGCCTCATGTTTTCCGGATAGCATCTCACAGTCAGACAGTGCGTGAGTACATCCTCAGTACAATATAATTGCCTGTCTGGTCATTCACATCAATTTCGACTCATTCATTTATTAACAACTGCGGTAATAACTATATCTTCGAATTATTCAATTTTTTCAATCTCTCCCAATGATTAACCCTCGAGAAATTATATAAAATTGTCATTTTTTTTTTTATAATCTAGCCTTACAATAAACAACGCAATCTTCAATTTTTTCAACTTTTCCTCATAGCTAACAAAAAAAAATTTCGCCCATTCCTCAGATAGTATAATGCATTCTGCTTTTTTCGCATTCCATTACTATGCGTTGTTTAGTATAAAGGGTGAATATTACATCAAGTCAGTGCTTAATAGTCAAATTTAGTTAATTAATGAAATTTTGTATTTTTTATTGACTGTATTCAGGCCTTGGTGGTGAATAATGAATTTTCTGAATTTCATTGGCTCCCGTCCCGCAATTAATTTCGGCTTCTGTTTATTCAATTCAATTTGTCTTTGCGATCCCTGAAATTTTCGAATGTTAATACAAAAACGAGAAATCAAGATTTTCGTCTCTCAATAACGCAAGTCATGTAATTTTTCCTAAACGATTTTGTCGGCTCGACGATTTCCCTCGCATATTCCTGTATTCCTGCTATCTGACGCTGTCACTTATCCAATATCTGCACACAAAAAAAAAATTATTGTTACGCAGAGAGAGACCATTGTTTTTCCCTGTTCAATAGCTTTTCCCCATGATGTTGTCAACTGGTATTCAATAAATTCCCGTTTTTGTCCCTCAGTTCCCCAGGAGAGGCGGAACGCGGGAAATCCCTTGATTTTCTCATAACGACTGGGATTTTTCACTTTTCCTATTCTCGTAAGGAACATACCTGACCGATAAAAGTGAAGAATTGCCGTTGGGAGAAGGTACAAATAAGAAATGGGCATTTTTTTCAGCGCAAAATGTCGCGCCAGGTAACAGGTGAACATGCGACGACTGACAGTCGACAGAATGTCTGACGCGCGCCAACATTTGTTTGAATTTACAGTGTATTGGTGTAATATGTAACTGTTACCTTGCACCGAAGGCCAGAGATAATTCTGTATACCTCATGTTATCCTGAGTGATTGCAAATTTTTTGGGCTTCAACGTTTACAACGTTTTGACGGAAATTCAAGTGCTCCGGCGCGACGGGAAACTGTGCACATTTTGAAAAATGTTCAAATGCTTTAATGATCGTTAGATGAGTGGCTCAAATGTGTTGGGGATTTAATGTGGCTGCATTGTATTCAATCTGGCATTTATTCTATTGTCATGCTATCCTGGTTCCTCAGTGTTCCATCCGTTCCAACCCATGACTTCCGGTTTCCGTTTATATTAATCCAAAACTACCGATGCTCGTTCTCATCTTTATTCTCTCCCAATAATTCCAATGTTTGTTTCGTCGATTCAACGTCGTGTTATCTATTCATTGGAGACTAAACCTGGCGGGTGAATGTCATTCTTTTCATTAATTTCAGTAACGTACCCTTTTTATTTCACATTCTTGAGTCAGAAAGACCGCATTAAGAGACTAAGAGACGGGGATTAAAATAGAGGATAACTTTGTACATTGAAATTTATTGAATTTATCACTTGTTGGACTTTTCGTTGTGAAAATGAAAAATTTAATAAAATTTTCAACCGATACTTATCAAACAATTTCAAGCCATTTCCATGTGAGTTTAGATATTCATTGAGTTCATTGAATCGGCAATCAAGAATTCAATTTTTTTCTCCAAAATTTAACCCGCAACTTGCCAACGGTGCCCCTTGTAGATAACTATTTTTCAAAAATACTAATCTACTTGAAATAAATATTCAATCCTTGAATACCTTCCACCTCTTGAAAAAAAAAATAATAAAAAAACAATCTAGAAAACCTTCTCTCCGGAAAATCTCAAATTTGCGAATCTGCAAAAATGAGTAAGTAAACAGATAAGAAAAAAATGGGACATTCCCGCGCTTTTTTTTGCATGTGGTCGGCGCGAGCGTTCCATCCTCGCCGTGGTTTGCCTCCCCACCCTCAGTCAGGGGGTGGTTTAACCACGAATTCACCTCCTCAGGGTGATGCTCCCCTGGTCTAATGGCGGGCATCCGCGACGCTTCGGCCCCTCGAAAGAAGGTGAAAAAAAAGAGAATTGATACATCTCTTTTCGGTGAGGACTCTTCGATCTAGCTCAACTCTAGACAGCATGACGATCCTTGGGACCACGTGAAAACCGGTCACTTAAGCAGCGTCGCGTCTCACTGGTCCCAGGATACCAGAAGGTACTTGCAAGTACCAGGTGTAAATACCCACTGGGGTAAATGCGTTACCAGTCCATCGCTATGTACCTCAGTGAGGGATCATGCATAGTGGTGGTTCTACCACATGACAGCCCTTCTACCTCACCCTCCATCCTTTTTTTCTCGTCGATATTTATTTTCCCGGCCATCTCTCTCCCCCCTGTTGTAAACTTCTCGCCTGTTTCATAAACGATATATTGCGCTGTCACGTGTTTATCGTTAAAAGGTGGTTATATCGATTTTACGTAGCTCAAAGTGTAAAGCGCATGCACTCGTCTTGGGGGAGGTATAATGATGATAATTACGCATTCGATAATCAGTTACGGAATTTTCAATGAAAAAAATTTCGTTAAAAAAATGTAGGTGTAACGGAATAGCTTATGAAAATAATCTTTTTAAATAATTATAATGCATGTACATCAATATATAATACGTAAATTGAATTATGTATTTAAATTATGTATATTATCTAATTGGAAAAATAAATGAATTTTATTTACCAAAAGCATTTTTTTGCATGTACTCTCCGACGATTTAGGCGTCCAAAATGCTAGTAAAATGCAATTTAGACTAATTGGAAATATGAAGGAGTAAGACGAAAGAACGCACAGTAGGAAAATGAAAACCGGCCCGAACCTGAATGAACCAACTGCAAATGTACCTACCTCACGTACATGGAGCCCTAATACACAGATGTTGAACGTCATCTCGAAATACGATACATACCCCCAGCATCTTGATCTCATCTCTCACGATACTCGGTATATAACTCATTCATCTAATCCGTTTAATCACCCATATTCTAATGTTCTCATCAATTCATCAATTCGTCACTGCATTCACACACTAAAAATTCCATGCAGAACATTTACCTCATGTATTGACTATTGTACAATATTTATACAATACGCCATTCACATCGTGAAATTACGTTGAGAAATACTCGAGAACTGTGTCAGCTAGCAACTTTAGAATACTTCCTCATCGCTCTGTTAACTTGATCTACTGACGCTAGAGAAGTGAGTGGCAAACTACCAAAATGGTCAACCACACCGTTCACTTGGTTTTATATTCTTTCATCACTTTTCTCCTTTCAATCCTCTCAAATTACCACTCATAATTACCGAAGAAATCGTGTAATTCGCCGAATAATTCTATTAGTCGACAATTATTCAATCGCCATAGGAATTGAAAACAAAAAATGTAATTCAATGTTAGAAATTTGTTTAATATTCAATACCAATTGCAATAATATTCGCAATAGTGTTGTATTTTTTATATAATTATATAATTATATAATTTGAGGAATATACGTAAGTTTTTGATATCGTAGGCTTTTTACATATTTTATTTTTGAGGAGGAGAGTAGGAATTAATTGAAGAGCTTGGCATGATCCCCGAGAACGTCTTTATATATTCCGGCCCAGAAGTTCATGCGATCTTTGAAAATCGAGGTTTTCATGGTCAGCTCATCGTTTATGGCCAAATATTTTCCATCCTCTCCCATGGGCTCCCATTTGATGTTGGCTGCACTCATCGTGATGGAGGGGTTTCTACAGTATTATAACAAAAGATAATGCAAATTGTTTTTAAAAAGATTTGAACAAATGTTTTTGTCTGGAAAATTTCATTACAATAAAATTTCTCATCGTTTCTGGGGAAATTCAGAATTAATCGATTTTTACATGATATTTTTTTTTCGTCAACACCAAATAATTATGATTTAATTTGAGTGGTTACTTTTATTGTTCTCAATTGGGTGATTGAAGAAATTAGTGACATACCCCTCTTTCGCGAAATCCGTCCACATTTCCACCATCTGATTAGTCTTAGTCTCCACTCGTGAGCCAGGTTGTAATTTATTTTGGAATACTTTCGAGTAGAAGAGATAAGTCATGTCATCCCCATGTACAACCCCTGTATGAAAATTCATGTTAAAAAAACGAGTTATTATTTTCAATCATTTTGTGCGTTTATGGTTCCGAAAATGAGAAGTTTATCGAATATTCACGTAATTACTCGATTTGTCATCAATAAAATACAGATAAATTTAATGTAAATCTGTCGTTATGAAAAATTGAGTTTTCATAACGGAAAATTTAATAGTTAATCAATAACTAACTAACTAAACTTGTCCACATATGTATACCCTTTCGGGCTTTTACATTTCCCATCCCCAGTTCCCCCTGTACCGCAATTACGCCGAGGGCCGAAGGGAAAACCTCATGGGAAAAAACCTTGGCCAGGTACAGTCCCCTCTTTCGAGACTACCGCTCGTACGATGAAACCTGTGCAAGTTAGAGCGAATTCTATCTCTAAAAAACCCCTGGTATTTCCCCGACTGGGAATCAAACCCACGAATCTCATGTGCCAACCCCCTACGCTCTAACCGCACGGCCACCGCACGTCGATTAGTTAATCAATAATTTTCTATTGAAACACAAAAATAAGGTTCACCTTTTTCAAGTTTAAACAAGGACTTCATAAATCCTAAAGGAGCTTCGAAGTCGAATAAATACTGATAAACAGGTGAACTCAACCGTGCATTAATGACCCTTGCTGTTAACATTGAGCCGCAGGCGAAAAATACATCAGTCAGAAGATTAGTAAGTTCTGTCACCGAGTCCCCAACGGCTTTATCACCGAAATAAAATTTCTTGATTGACTCTCCCACCATCTTCAGCTGCCCTGGATCGGTCATGTTGAGGTCCTTGGGGATGAACAGTGCGAAATTATCCTGGAAGTGAGAAACCATGGGCAGCACCACTAGAAAGTCATTTAAAATGTTTTTTTTTTATGAAAAAAAATCCCAGGTCAAGCATTACGTCAATCAAAATGACTCTAATTACTTCCTGTAAACAGTCCGCCCTCCTGGGAAACTGTTCCTATCATCGTGTGTACATTAGCCACTTTTCCAGATTTCAGCAGCTCCCATGGATCCGCTGGAAGGAACATGTCCTTTCCGATATTATTCTCCACTGATGGCAACATGAAATGCATATCGCCACGGAGAAAGTTCTAGAACAATCAATCAATGAATGACATATTAATTACTAATGACCTACTAATAAATTATAATTATAATACATTACAGAAAAACTTTACGTTCATTAAATCAATGATCGCAACTCTCTGCAGAAATTCCAGTAGATCGTTTAATATTTTGCTAGTAAATTAAGTCTCACAATTATTTATTTACCATTGTTCCACCAAGTGCGTCATTTGCCTCGACAATCTGTGGAGTTGGAACTTCACTCAGTTTCACAACCAATTCTTTGGTGTCAGATGCTTTGATTCCAAGTTTGGCAGCTAATGTCATTGCATCTTCCCTTGGGGTGTATGAAATGGCCCAAGAACTTGATACTGACCCACTCTGAATAATTGCTCGTCTGAATAATCCTGTGTACCGGAAATAAGAGAATATTTAACCGACGTGTTATGACGCAAAAGTTCGAAAATATAATTTTTTTATTCTGTCTTTTTGAAACTTTATCTTCGATTGAGCACTAACGTTAATTAAAATTAAATTCAAATTCAATTTTTTTATCAATTTTTTTAAAACTCAACTTCCCATTTTCTCAATCTATTCTGACTTTCTTAATCCATTACATTTTAATCCATTAAATCCACTCGATTATGCGTGAAGTAAATATTTCAATAATTGCAATTTTACGTTTATCTCAAGATAATCGGTGCAAACAAAATGGCCCCTCTCTTTGTTAATTATTAATATTATCCATTGCTAATTCATTAGTGAAAATATATGTAGAATATATGAATAATGAAAGAACATATTTTCCAATTGTTTCTTTCCATTTTTCGTAATTTTTGTACTAGCCATATTTCAGGGAATCCCCAGATGCTTTGTCAATAGGATCGATGACCTGATGGAATTCTCCCCTTCAGATATTCCGTTGAAATGCGTATTATCTTGAAACATACCTTCTGACATCGGTGAGAGCATGTGATACTGAACAGAGGCAGCACCAGAGCTAACACCGAATAATGTTACTCTGTTGCGGCACCCACCGAAACGACCAATGTTATTCTGAATCCAGTTGAGAGCCAGGACTTGATCCTTCAAGCCAGCGTTTCCTGGTGCATTAGCATCCCCAGTGTTGAGATATCCTAATCGAAAGTGAATATTTGAATAATAGAGCATTTCCCACGTGCATTATCATCCTCAAATATTCTTACTATCAAATACATTTTACCGGAAATTCCTTTAATTGCGAGCATTATTTATATTATCTTATATTGATTATAATAAAATTTCAATTATAATATTGTATAAAAAATCTTCTATAGTATTTTATAATTAAAAATGTCGGCAAGATTTTAATATTTAATTATGGATAAAGTTCAAATCATTAACATAAAAAAATAAGTAGAAATAAATAATGGAAAATGTAAAATGTAAAAATATCTGTGAGAGAGGCAATATTTGAAGAGAATTGATTATCAGGGGAATAATAGATGACTCACCGAGTGCTCCCAATCGAGAATTTACTGTTACCAAGATAACATCCTTCTCGAGGAGAAAATCAGGACCGAACAGATCATCATCGCCGGAGCCTTTGGTGAAACCACCAGGGTGGAAGTATACCATCACAGCTTTACCACTTCCCTCCTCGAGAGTCGGAGTGTAGACATTAAGGAAGAGACAATCATCATCTCCGAGGACTTTTTGCTGAACCATGCAGAAGAAGACACAAGTATTGCCATGTTGAGTTGCATCCCTGACTCCGGTCCACCCCTCAGCAGGTTCTGATTGCTGGGAATTAATTCGGTCAGACTAGCCAGCAAAATGCTAATTAAATCGGTTAATTACGATAGGTTTACACGTACTAACTCGGGAATTTTTTTTCCAAAATGGAATTGTTTCATTCACTAACTGTTAATTTCCCACATATACGTCTCGTAAATTATAACAGAATCCCCAGAAGAGATTAAAATATAAGAATTTAACAAAAAATTGCACGTTGAAGTCACCGTTACGTCAGTCTTGTCAAAAATTTTAAGTGTAATTTTTCAATAATGTACACCAAGAATCTAAATAGAAAAAATTATCAAGACAGAAAAAATTCAAATTTATCAATAAAATCCCGTTGATACCAATGAATTAATAATCAGCAATTAACTAATCAATTAATTAATAATTGATTACCTTGAACTTATTGGGCCCAATCATGGGTTTTGCATAAGGTATTCCCTTGAAACTGTAATACTGCACTCCATTCTGGGTAGTAGTTGTTTTCAAACCTCTGAGAGTTCCCTGGGGAATGGTCAACTCAACTTCATCAGCTGCCCAGGATAATCCTAATGCTAAGCAGCTGACTATTACTCGTACTAGCCACATTGCAATTCTCAGTTACTCTTAATTTTTTTAGGCTTCAGTTGGGTCTTTTATAGTTTCTCTGAATCGAATTTGATTGAGAGTTAGGAACAGGACATTGTGTAACTCTGACGCAGTATGACTTGCATGATTTATTGAAAATATGCTAAATTCAATGAGCAGACTATCATGTTTTGACGAAAAATTTGAAAAAATCCATCCGGTGGTGTAATGCGTATTTCAAATATTATTGATTGTAATTAATGGACAGGATAATTGTGTTGGAATAATTATCATTTGCAGTTTAATGGACTGTAAGGGCGTTTTAAACCACAATACTCCATTTATAACCTGATTCCGTGTTCTCAAATGTAGCATTGTCCGGGGTCAGGTTGCATAAAGCCTTTTCAAACGTTTTTTACCATTGTTCATGGGATCATAATTCTATTCCCGAATTAATGGATAATTGCATCGTGTATGAATGGTGTACACCAGGGGTTCCAATAGGGTAATAACATGCCTCGAGATATAACGCACGTTCACCGCTCGAAAATCTCTTTCCGATTTGACAAAAACTATTGTTTTTTCATTAATACAAAGTGGCGACAGTGAATAATCATATCCTGTTTCGGTTTTTCCTTCTCACTGGCTCCGATTGGGATTGATTAGTTAATTTATCTTGCAAATATTTGCATAATTTTTGTAGGATTAAAGAAATAGGATTTTTTTAATTCCGGGATTTTCCTCCGCTTCATCAATGCGGAATGGAAAACTTCCGTTTCAATAAAAAAATTTTCTAGATAAGGGAATTAAAAAAGTTCTTGTATTTCGTTGATCTATTGCTAGATCACTTGACGGTTCTGGATTTCGGATTATATTATCATGATATTGAAAATAAAAATGCGTTGTAATTTGGGGATATCGCGTAGAATAAACATCCGGTGATGCAATAAAGGAAAATTCCGCATGTCTCGAATGCTACAAAGTAGTCTAGTAGCGATTTGAATGAATCATAGCGCCATGCGTAACAACTAAATTTAATCCGGGAATCATAAGTGAGAGGAAAGTCCAGCGCCACGGTCTCTTTCCATTCGATATATATATACACATGTGTATTTCTGTCCTTGTTTTGATATTGTGGTTTAATACTTAAACTTTTAATATGTATAGGTCAAAATTTATTAGAGAGATTACGTTCCAGGGGGCGTAGCTCAGATGGTAGAGCGCTCGCTTAGCATGCGAGAGGTACCGGGATCGATACCCGGCGCCTCCATTTTTTTTTCAATTTTTTTTCCAAATTTTTCCTTAATTGTGTTATTTTTTAAATTTCAGTGAGGCTCACTGAAGTTCATCTAGTTCACATCCTTAATTTTCAGGTGTCGGAAACGCCATACAATGCGAGATATTATTTATTTCATTGTAAAATTTCTTAATCTCTTAGGGGAGAGTGGGGCAAAGTAGGTAGGCGGGGCAAAATGAGACGCAGGGAAAAGTGGAGCAGTAATGAATTTCCATTATCCAAGACTATAGCACCTTTTTGAATATTCAATTTATTCATAGAGCAGTTAAAATATTCGCAGCGCGTTATACTCAGTACTTTACAATCTATTACTCTATGATTGAATTTACACAATGATAAATATAAAATTTCTTCACAGAACTCAAATGATCACATGTTTCTTCGGTTTTTCACGTCGACACATTTTATTTAATTTCACCTTAAGGGCTCGAAATTCAAGCAGATTTTCCAGATTTTAGAAATTTCAAACGCCTTCAGAGGAATATATCACGTGAAAAGTTTGAAGGAATTTAAGAAACTTTTCAAAATTTCGAAAGAATTGAAACTCTTCTGGAAATTTCCGAATTCAAGAAACTTCTAGAAATTTTCCAGAAACTCTTCTAGTTTCTAGAAATGACAAAAAAAAATCTAAAAATTGATAGAAATTTCCATAAAATTCTTCAAGTTTCTGACCAATTTTAAAAGAATTCAATTGATGGAAAATGAAGAGCAAACTTCGAGGGAATTCTCCAGATTCTTAAAAATTGTTGTCAAGCTGTTTCCGCTAAAATGTTCATAATGACCTTTTCTATAACTCTCGGAATTCTCTACAAAAAAGGTCTCCTTCAAAATTCTCCTATCTCCTCCAGATTCCAAAATAACGTTAATTAAGAGACGGGATAAATGAAATTGACTTGACTCCAAATTATCATTTTCACATGAATGTGATCACGAGCTCACATTTACGTAAAAAAAAAAGTTGTCTGGATTTCGCTCTTGATTCCTTCTTTCTAGCGTTCCATCTTGCCCCACTCTCCCCTATATTATTCTTCGAACAATTTATTTGCAAATATTATTTTTTCACTTGTATCGTACTATATTGTTTTTTTTAATTTGTTTACATAATATATTGTTGGTGTCAGGAGTACCATTGAATCAAGGTGGTTATGGAATAGCCCAGGTTGTTCTAAATTACAATGGCTCCCCGAGAACAGCGTGTCCAATTGGAAGGAATAATAGTAAACCAATTGATCGGTATGATTCATCGATCACGCTCCGGCAATTGCGATCCGAAATGATTCGAATGACATCCGTACAGGATAAACCACTCGACGGATATATCGTGACCTCCAACGACGATCATCAGGTAATTTTCGTTCAATGAGATTCCTTCCGATCTTTTTCCATTTATCCACACGAAAAACAATTTCAGAGTTCGATTCCATTATCACATGCTCGGACGGCTCCTTCGGAGGTATTTCTCATGAAGTAATAATAAGTAATAATGTTTTGATTTTTATATCGAATAACAAAATTAACTGTTTCGTGTGTTTATTCTTAATTGAATGGAAAAGAATGTTCTTTGGAATATTGAATGGAATAATAGTATATTACGTAACAAGTGCGGAATAGTGATTTTTGTGCGCATAAGAGGTTTATAGCACGAGCCGATGGTAAGTGGTATAATCCCTCATGCCAAAAATCACTTTCTGCACGAGTTGCGAACAATATTTTTCTTCACAATGTGCGGGAAAGTTACTTTTTGGCACATGGTGATGAAAAAGAATTTATCCCATTTTAATTAATAAATGAGTTGGAGTGAGTTTATTTAACTGAAAAAATAAGTGAAGTGAGCTTATTTAATTAAAGAAATAGGTAGAGTGAAAATATCGAATAAAGATTGTTATTTGATTGAAATAAATTTTTTTATGAGCGTACTTTCACTTGGACGATTAAAGTAGAGTTGTTTTTATTTGTTCCAGAGTGAAACTGTTTTAGCCCATTTTATGAGACGTGAATTCCTCACGGGATTCCGAGGTAGTGCAGGAGAAGCTTTGGTAACAGGAAATAAAGCGATACTGTGGACCGATGGCAGATATCATATTCAAGCAGACAATCAACTAGATTGTAATTGGATTCTCATGAAATATGGCCACGAAGGTGTACGTAGGCTTGTCGCATCCCATTCCAATATTAATTGTTTATTGGAAAAATTTATGATAAAATTTATCCTCACCCTCAGTAATTCAATTTGAAATTTTTCACCAAAAAAGGGCTACTATTTATAAACTCTTTCAAAATTACTTATTTAGTTATTGGATAAATCACTCAATTACTCCAGGATTCTGGTCATTTGGAAAAAATTGCAATTTTCAATTGAATACCATTAAAGTTCATATAATTAATGAAAAATCTATAGTTTACAAGTTATAGTTTATTATTGCAAGCAAGTGTAGGGTAACATGGGCATGTTTTCATTTTAATTCATGTAGCAACAATTAATTAACACTCAAAAAATCCTTGAATCATTATCAGATTAAATCTCAAATTGCTGGTTTCAAAAGAATATATTTTTGTATTATTCAACGACATAATAAATATAGTATAAAAGAAAACATCATTAAATTTTTAAGTTACAATGATAAAATTGCGGCTTCAATTAATTTTTTTAGGTCCACTACAAACAGCTGTAAAAAAATTACGTGTCCCGCAAAAATTACATGAAAATATTACGATTTTTACTATCATCGTCTTTTCCACTTTAATGTAAGAATGAATGAATTATAATTTTTTCCACATGTAGTTCTAACTGCAGCGCCAGATGGCATTTACGCGGTTTTTTTTCCTCAAGTCAGAGATTACGATAGAGTTGATGTAATCCATTGCGGCGCGTTGTAAAATTAAGATCATACTTCACAGGATCATTTCTGTAGTATATCTTCACATTCTCTCTACTCAACAGTGGAGTTGATGCAGCCATGATGAAGAGGTATAATCCTTTTCCCTGAGCGTGAGGACGACTCGTGGATTTGAATTCTATTTCGAATCCGCAGTCATCGATGATCGTTCACCTTCCGCATTCCTTGTGGAAGGCCTGGGAAGTGGATATTCTGAGTGGTTTTTTTTTATTATTCTCAATCATTAATCAAAACTTTTTATTCATGAATAATTAATAACAGGTACCATCCATGATTCAGTGGATAAAACAAGAGTTTCGGAACAACTCGCAAGCTAGGATAGGGGCTGATCCGAAATTAATTCCAGCGAAAACGTGGACAGATTGGGAAGAAGAACTCGGTAATTAGATATTCCATTAATCCTTTGATTTCTCGTTATCCGGGGACAATTTTATTGCACGTGCTAAAAGAAATTGTTGAATTTCTACTGTTGAAATGTTGAATATTATTGAAATTCTATTGTTCAATAAATTATCCAGCGGCATCATCGATACACCTTGTAGCTGTCCATAAGAATCTCATCGACATAATTTGGCAAGTGAATCGTACATCCGACATAACTCATCCGGCCTACGAATTAAAAACCGAATTTTCGGGTAAATCCTGGCAAGAGAAGATCCACCAAGTGAGATGTCTCATGGAGAATGCATCAGCTGATGCTCTTGTTATCACAGCCCTGGATGACATCGCTTGGGTTCTCAACATAAGAGGCTGGGACTTACCAAATACTCCAGTACTCAGGGCATACGTTGTTCTCACTCCTCAAGCCATTCTCCTTTACACAGATCGCAAAAAAATCAAGAGAAGTGTCGATTTGCATTTGAAGACTGACGGCTGCTATTACGCTGATTGTGTGAGGTAACTCACTTTTCCTTCAAAAATCATTGAAATCCCCTAATTTTTCCATTGAATGAAAATATAAAGTGATATAATTTATCAAACTAATAACTCCATTAATATGAGGAATTTCGACAAATTGCGTAAACCACAGGAATCTGTTATTCATTTATTTATTTAGGAGGGGGATATCATTTTTAGAGTTGACGTTTTTTTTACTGACGGGAGAATATTTATTCGTATCACGATCTCGATCGAGAGATATTTTTCGTCCCATTACATCCATGCAGAGGATGTCTCAGTGAAATGTTTACACTTTTTATTTCTAGAATAGTTAATTATTCAGAAATCTGGAATGATTTGCGAACGTTGTCTCAATCGTGGAGCAAAGCGTGGCTACCAGCTCCCTGCGTATATGCCCAAGGGGTTTCAAGACAAATATATGTATCAGTAAGTAATCTAATTCCAAAAAAAAAAATTTGCTCCCATTACAATGATTCCCCCATAAATTAACTGAAAGAATTTCCGCAGTATCATCATGTACTTGATGATTGGAAAATAATCATAGATTATTATTGATCAAATTGATTATCGATCATTGCACTTTTTTTCGTTTAGATCCCATCGTCAAAACGTTACTTCGAGCCCTCGCCGATAATTGCACTTCGAGCTGTGAAAAATGATATTGAAATAAATGGAATGAGACAAGCACACATAAGAGATTCTATCGTAATGTGCGATTTTATGGCTGATATGGAATTTCAAATGAGTATTAATGGAAAAAGCTGGGATGAGATGCAAGTTGTGAGGGCTATAAATGGCTTTCGATTCGAGATGGATTACAATCAGGGCATTGCATTTCCGACTATTGTTGGATATGGAGAGCATGGGGCACAACCGCATTATGAACCCACCGAAAGGACTAGTGCTCTCATTGGAAGCGACTCCACATTGGTCATTGATTCGGGAGGACAATATTTCGGTGAGAGACCAGTGGACAATTGCATTTTTTACAAATTAACTATAATTTTTACCCACCAATTCGCTTCCCAATTGACTCTGTTTAATTATGCTCTTATTTCTCCATTGAACTTTTATTAGAACTCTATAGAAATTCTTTTTACCTTCCATATTACATTAAATTTTTAATTTAACCTTCATATGAGCATTTTACATAACTATAAAATAGATTTATAAAGAAAATCTTAACATAATTTGAATTTCCATCACATTAAGAATGAAACTAAAATATAAACATTCAACTCGATTAATAAGTATTTAAATATCTCTTAAATTAACGGAGATGACGAAATTTGAGTAAAATCCGCGTTGGCAGAGCTAATTGAGAATTACGTCGAATGTTATTACGAAAATTTCACTCTCTTTCTTAATTTTGGAGATATTCTCCAAATATCTAAACCGAGCGAAGAGCTGAGTTAAGATCTTCGTTCGTTTAACTCACAATTATTGATCATCGGTCAAATAATTAATTTCGCTGATGCATGTAATTAGCTTGATTGACTTTTCAGATGGAACAACGGATATAACAAGGACCTTTCATTTTGGTGAACCGACTGATGAACAAAAGAGGGCATACACACGAGTGCTCATTGGTTCGATTCAACTAGCGTCGATGGTATTCCCACCTGATCTCAGAACAGATCAGCTAGATGTATTTGCTAGAGAACCCCTTTGGAAGGCTGGATCTGATTACATGCATGGCACTGGCCATGGCATCGGGCATTTTCTCTCTGTTCATGAGTGTTGGTTTTTTTGTTCACCATTTCAACATTTTCCTGTAATACATTTACATCTACATGGATTTTTATCATTTTATTTGCAGCTCCCATCAGTGTCTCTTATGTTCAAAATTCAACGGCTGCACCAGGGTGTAGTACACATCTGCAACCAGGAAATTTCCTGTCCAATGAACCTGGATATTATTCCAAAGGAAAATTCGGTGTTCGACTGGAGAATGTACTTGAAGTTGTTCAAGTAGTGAGTATACATTTTTTTAATTTAATTGCATTATAAATTTTTGGATTTAATCGTTTTACAATTTAATTTTTTAATAATTCAATCCACTTATCAGCGATTTATTCCAGGGAATGAAAAATTCGAAATTACTGAAATTTCGGGATGCAACGCTAGTTCCATATGAGTCAAAACTCATTGATTTAAATATGCTGAGTCGATCCCACGTGAGAAAATCATTTAATTACTTTATTTATCCACAGTATTTTCAACCTTGTTCATCCTGCTATGAATAATCATGTTTTATACAATTATTATTAATTTGTTAATACATCAATTCCCCACAGAAATCAATAGAATTAACTATTAAGAGAACTGATTAGATAAAGATAATTAAATAGCGCATTGAAATTACGTTTTAAAAATAATATTTCATGTGATTGTTAATTAATTAATAAGGTGTGTTATTATCTCACAAAACAGAGGAGATGGTTGAATAACTACAACAGACGAATAAGAGAAGAAGTTGGTCCTGAGATGCTGAAGAAATGTAAAATGGAGGCGTATCAGTGGATGGAAAAAAGAACACGAAGCATTCCGGAAGAGGATGAAGTGGATGATAATTATTTCACGGGAGATTCCAATCCCAGTCTCTCCAAGAAATCTTATCTACTCATTATTCTTGTGATATTCTTTCATACATCGGGCGGTGAGTTATTTTTTTCCTCAATTCAATTAACAGGATTGTTATTTAATTATATTCATTGGATAATTCGTCTGAATTGAATTTTCCAGGCGTTTTCATGACGTACAGCTGAGAATCAACTAGTACTACATTCAGATTGAATTCATTCAGATAAATCTTATGAGTAACTCCGGCTGCATTTCGATCTGAGATTTTATATGGTGTAAATTGAAAAGGAGGCGAGAGCTTTAGTGAAAGATTATTTATCGTTTGTGAATCATAGGAAAGAAGAAATTGTTATCAAATAATTAAATCGGTTTGAAGTATTTGGTATGAAAAAGTTTAATAAAACAATTTTGCGCTGTTAAATTCTTGGAATTTCTATTCGAGTTTTATTAAAATTCTATTCAATTGAAATTTCCAATCGAACAATTACGTATCCTTGAGGAAAAAAAACGTGAACTGGAGAGTGTATGTGGGCGGTGAGCCGAAGGATGCGTTCTGTAAACATGTAAACGTTCATGACGGCGGGGTACGCGTATTTGAGTCGACTCGGGTCGGTTTTGGTCAATTTAGTCGATTTGCGTCGATTTTAATCGATTGTGAGGAAATGGGCATCCATGAGTCGATTTAGTCGATTTTAGTCGTTTTTTATCCTCTTGAACTGCGTTAAGGGTTAATTTCACTTCCAAGTTCACTCTGCCAGAGAATATGCATGCCTTACGAGAACAAACTGAATTCGGCCAATTTTTACGATCTGTTGGGGATAAAATATTGAATATGAATAACTGAATTTAAATATATCACACAAATGAGTATAAAGCACCTCTAGATGAAGATATCGCAAAGGATTTATATGAAGAGGTGTTTAATGCGTACCTATGGAAACATCAATTATCATTCTCATGAAACATTCGCAATAGTACATTATGTCATCAGGCGATAAAAGTATTATCTGACGAATGTGGGTTAATATTATAATCAAATTCGCAAGATAATACTATATCGCCATGTCACATAGGAAATTTGTCAATTCTCCTTTTTGATTCCATTGGGCAATCATACGCGATAAAGGATAAGTAATTTAGAATTCTCTTAGGCATATCTTCAATTTAATTAGAATTAAAAGCAATAATTATTTAAATTATTACAATTATTAATTGTTTATTGATCAATTGTTAATTGATGATAGCATATTAAAAAGATTTAAATTATCTGAAATTCTATCGATTAATATAATAACAATCGAATGGTTGGAATATTCCGAATGATTTAATAGTTCGAATAATGCATTTAGTGTTGGGTGCTTCAAATGTAATTCGTTACGAATTATGCGATTAAATCTCTGGTATTTGAACCCAAGCCTCACCCTTCTGCAATGAAAATTTTTCCTCTTTGCGGTGAAAAAAAATTAATAACAGAGAGTATTCAGAGTTTGAGGTGAAAGCCAACATGCCCCGACGACTCATAACGCTGAGATAAACTGACTAATGAAAAGTATCGGAAAACCAAAGGGTTTTCCGATCCACTCCAGTGGTGGTATATTTTTTAAAATTCCTCCCAATTTCCTCATGGACAACAACTTCTCCTTCATTTTCCGTTGACCGAGGGCAATAATGGATTATCTGTTGGCTAAGCCGAGGGGAAGCCTTGAAATAACTGAATTAAGGAGACTAAAATGTGATGATGAGGGAAATAAAATGGAGAAAAAAAAATGAGAAAATCCGTAATATCGGATTTGTGGTGAAATAGCGTTGGTATAAAAGGGAATGATAGTGGAAAAAAAGTCGGTTAGGTGCGGGGCTGGGCCATCGGTGCAGAGCCCATTTTTTTTTCTTCATCATGTTAAACGACAGCCTCCGATGGGAAGCCAGGATACTTCCACCTGGACCACCACGTTTACTCGGTTGGAATGTACCTCCTGAAGAATTAATTCATATACCGGAGCACTGGCTGGTCTATCCCGAACCAAAGCCCGCCTTTCATTATCTCTTGGCTCTAGTATATGTTGCCTTTACTTTTGTTGCACTGCTGGGCAATGGTCTCGTCATATGGATATTCGGCGTGTGAGTATTATTTTTTACTCATATAACCAGCCCGAACTTATCGAATCAATTATCTCTTTAATTATCGACATTTTCAATACAACATACTATGTATTTTGCATCTTCATATCGAAAAGGTTCCAGAGATTTCCAGAAATTCTGTGCTGAATTAGTGGAATCAAATTCAATTCTATCATTGCTATTTTATCTTATCGAGTTAATAGGAAATATCGTCGAGAAAAAAAATATAAATTTTCATTTCTATATCCCAAAAGAAATTTAAAAGAGGAAATTAAAGAGTTAATCTCGATGAATTCAATTCCGCCGTGAATTATATCAAATTTCAATTGTCGTTTTCGATATAAAAATTAGTGTCTCCTGATTAGAGAATCACATATTTTTTATTTTAGAGCAAAATCACTACGCACCCCATCAAATATGTTTGTGATCAACCTGGCATTCTGCGACTTCATGATGATGCTGAAAACTCCTATTTTCATTTACAACTCCTACCACAATGGATTTGCCCTGGGCAATCTAGGATGTCAGATTTTCGCTGTCATGGGAACTCTTTCTGGAATTGGTGCAGCGATTACGAATGCAGCTATAGCATTTGACAGATACAGGTATTTATAATTTACAATTGAAAAAATACCCTCCGATGAAAAAATCAATAGATGAGAAAACGAGATTCTCTGAGATTTGTCTGTGTTCAGGACAATTGCAAGACCTCTGGATGGAAAGCTGTCCCAGGGACATGTTTTGCTGTTCATCGTGCTGATCTGGGTGTACGTGATACCTTGGGCCCTAATGCCCTTAATGGGTGTCTGGGGAAGATTTGCGCCTGAAGGATTTCTCACTACCTGCACCTTCGACTACCTTACTGATACGCCTGAGACTCGTTACTTCGTTGCCACTATCTTTACATTTTCATATGCTATACCAATGTTGCTCATTATTTATTATTATAGTCAGATTGTCGGACACGTGGTTAATCATGAGAAGAGCCTGAGAGAACAGGCCAAGAAGATGAATGTTGAGAGTCTCAGAAGCAATGCTAACACTCATGCACAATCGGCTGAAATAAGAATTGCAAAGGTGACTGAAACTATTCGGTCGATTTTTTCTCCCACAAATTCCATTCATTTCCATTTTCATTCATTCATATCATTTTTGCGACGCTTTTTCATGATAGAATAAATTAAGACCAAGACTTTAAAAATATTATGAAAAAATCCTTATGTTTAATTGATAATTCAATCATTTAATTCGTTATCCATCATCTTTAATGAAACTTTCAGGCTGCAATTACAATCTGCTTCCTATTCGTCGCTTCGTGGACACCATATGGAGTGATGGCTATGATTGGTGCATTTGGAAACAAAAGTCTCTTAACACCTGCTGTAACAATGATTCCAGCTTGTGCATGCAAATTTGTGGCGTGTTTAGATCCATACGTTTACGCCATAAGTCATCCGAAGTACAGGTAATTAAAATAACAAATGTGAATGGAATTATTTGAAAAGCAAACAACTCACAGTTCTCCGTTGTCCCAAATCAGCCACAGTAGACTCTCGTTATAGTCACAGAATTTAATTCCTCACCAGACGGAACGATTGATTATTTACATCTTAAAGCTCGAGGGTAGAGTAGAGTGGAGAAACCGGAAGATACGCTAAAAAATAAATTGAGGAGATGTGCGACTATAACGGGATTCTACTGTCAATGACAGGGAATTATTAAAAAAATTTCCAAACATCGCATCAGGCGTATGATTTAAGTAATTGGTGATAAAGTCTCTCTTTGAATATTTAGGAAGAAATGGGATTCCATACGAATTTAAAAAATGTTCTCAGGTTGGAGCTCCAGAAACGTTTACCATGGCTAGACCTTCAGGAATCCCCTCCACCAGCGGATACAGTCAGCAGTACGACAGAAGTTGTGAATTCACCCAATTGAAGCAGTAAATTGATCCAACGACGATGTCACATCATTGAAACCGAATTCTGATATTCAATGTTCACTTGGTCAATGGTAATAAAGAATTTCCTGGCAATCATCGAGTATTCGAGTGAAGTAATTCATTTATTTAATTTAAAACCTCCAATAAATCAATAAAGAATATAAATCTGTTCAAAGCAAAGACATCTCTCTTAGATTTTCAATTGCCTCAGAGAATCGTTATTAAGGTTGGTCTTAACTTTCTTCTTCCTCTCGAGTTTCACGATTTTAGATATGACTGGTGCTTGCGTCGAAATTGTTGACTGCATTCCCAGATTTTTATTTCGTAAATTCACCAGCTGCTGATCGATCATTTTAATCCTCTCAGTATTCCCTTTCTTTAAAGCACTAAAATTTCCCTAGAACATTATTTTCAGAATTTACACTAAAACATCACAACTTTTGCATTCTTTGTATTTTACGTAGTTGTTTAGTACAAGAGAGAAGCGAAAATTGGAAATATTTCAATTCAATAATTCAGTGGCAAAAAGAGAAAATCATCCAAACAAAATTAATGAATAGGTAAACGTTTAAGGAATATCTTTGAATCTAGACTCTAGCCAAATTCCACCGTCTCTAGGAAAATCCCGGATATTCCGTCAAATCTCGTTCATTATTATTCTGAAATACTATTACAGTAGAATTCCGATATAGTCGTATCTCTCGCAAATTCTTTATTTTATCTCACGTAAATATTTTCATGAACATTTCACTGAGATTACTCTCTCATTGTACTTCGAAAGTGTCAAAAAATGAGCTCACATTCTTAGCTGGCTGCTTCGTCGATCCTTTGCTCTTCGTTTTCTTCACCGAGACTTTGAATACATTCTTCGTTCTGGAGGTTTTTCCCACACTGTTCTTTCCCATTTTCACCTGCAATTCCAATAGCATGAGTTCTCTGGCGTTTGATCTGAGGCTCAAGTCCCTCACACCTCATTATTTCCTCAGTCAAATAGAAAGACACCCTCATCATCTCTTTATTGGGCGCAACATTCCTAACATGATGAATAATCTTCACAACTGATTCAGAAAGTTCTGCCTCCAGATGTAGTTCAACCTGTTTCTTAACTAATTTTTTAAAATCACTAGCCTTCTGAGCCTTAATGAAACAGTACAAGTGGACGAGGGGAGGATTCCTGAGGACTTTCTGTATCTCCTCTCTGTCCATCCACTCACGAAATACATCCAGGAACTCAACAGCCAGAGCTGGCAAATTCATGGTAATGTGTTCACATCCAGTGGAACACTCACGTCGTCGTTCCAATAAATTTCTCTTGACGTCTTCCCTCAGGAAATCTCGACCGTCTTTATTGAAACAACTCAAGCCCTTCGTTTTATTATCTGCACTATTGACTTGCAGCCACTTGTATGACTCTGGATTCAAGTCATTAGCCAACACTGTGACGCCTTTTCGTGCTGCAGGCACCGAGAAAGGCCCAACACCAGCAAAAACATCGTAAAGAACATCCCCTTTCTCCATGTACTCCAATAGCCTCTTGTGCTCTGTAATCAATCGGGAATTCCAATAGACTTTTGCAAAGTCAAACGTGAATTTGCAGTCATTTTCCTTGACAGTCGTGATCGTGTTTCCATCCCCTGCCAGTACTTCCATCGAGAAATTTCGGAATTCTGTGTCGATGCTGTTTATTTTATTGACAACGACTCTCGTATGGGGGACGAAATCCAAGTAGACCTCGCCAATTACTCTTTTGAATGGTAATTGATTATCTCGAAGATTCAAGTGCAATATGTGACCTACTTTAGTGAAGGAAGTGGGAACACCAATGTCTTCCGGAATCACAGCCCCCAGAATAGTGTCGGCGGTCCAATTTTCGTAATTAATAGTGATTCGTTTCTTTTCGATGACGTCTGTGTATTTTTTCAAAATTTCTCTAGCTTTTTCGTCGAAATCTTCGAAACTCTCTACTACCTCAGGATTGAGGTACACTATTAGGCGATCTTCCATCTGTTGAACCGGCTTCCAACGCCTCAATTTTAATAAGTATTTTTTAATTACTGCCATAAATTCCTTCTGAGAGACTTTTGTTAATTGTACATAGGGCACGTCAACGACGTACGTGAATTCCTCCCGTTTCAAGAATGTCATTCCTTTGACTGAGGACGGTGGAGTCAGTGAGTAGACCATGTTTTTTATCCTCGGGGAAGAATAATATCGGTAGAGGGATGTCAGGGAAGATGAGGTTCTGTAGACCATCAGACAGTGTCAATCACAATCTCTTTATTGTCCAAAACATCGAAGAGATTAAGAAATAGCACCTGGAATTATTGGGACTCGTGTAATCTGTTCAACAGTCATATATTCCATCGACACAGCATTCTATTGAAAAAAGAGTGCATCACGAATTAAATAATTTCATTGAAAATTATATTGGATTAGAATATTCAGTATAAGATATTCCATGGAAGATGCTGTGACAATGTATGAAAATTTCAAATTACTGATTCTCTGACTAATAAATAGTTGGATTAACAATGCCTCAGGTGTCTGTTTGCAATCAATATTGACTCGAAAATATAAAAACTTACAGTTTTCTCTACGATTTTCTTATCGAACTTATGGCCTTCAAACTCATAATTCAACAGTTATCTACGATTAATCTTATCTATTATAATTTTAATCACAATCATTAGGTTTTTAGACAGAACAATATTTGAGAATCCACAGAGCACGTGTTCGTTTTCAGGTTAAGTTAGAGGATCCTTGTCCAATCACTAAATATTTGGACAGACACAACCAATGACAGATGTTCTTTAGTGGAACACCTTGTGTTGATGGGAACAGGAATTTCAGAACGAAGAGGTAAGGCCCGGCCTTCTCGTCGTGGGAAAAATTGGGTGACTTTTACCCCCCCACAGTTTGCGGCATACTTCGAAGCTCCATCTAAAAAATACACGGTCGATAACAGGAAAAGTGACAAAATGACACACTTTTCCAGGGCCGTCTGGAGCTCCGAAGTCAGGGTGCCAAATTTTCGGGCCCCCTTCGAAAAAAATAGAAGTGGGAATGAGAAATCCATTTTTATTAATTTTTTTAAACAAATAGGCGCATGATGGTGAAAAAGGGGGGAGGGGGCATGGATGCGAGGGTGACATGGGAGTTTGGGTATCGGATGAATCCGTCGGAAAACAATGAAGGATTGACAGTGGCATAAGTGTGGCAGGGTAAAATAG